TGCACAAAATGTGATGCTTTAGTCCAATACTTGCAAAAGTTACGACAAGTGGAGCCAGGTGGCTGAGCCAGCCCTAGGGCATGGCAAAAGGTGTGGTGGCCTAGGGCCTATCTTAAATAAGAGACCGATATATCTACAGACTTAAATAAATTACAAAAGAACATAAAATCAACGCGGATAGGGGGCAATTGACCCCCAACCCCGACGCACTTTACCACGTTGCATTTATTTAATAGTTATTTATAATTGAGTACATGTATCATATAATCATTATTTGCATTATATAATCATATATAGATGGTGTACTCAGACTTTATTTACTAACTAAAATCATGTTTTTTAATGTTTACGCATTTATATTATTCGGTTAAGGTTTATTGTGTCTCATTCGCACTAGGGCCTCCATAATACTATGGCCGGCCCTGCCTACCTCATGAAGATTGCATATTTCATTTTAGTGTTTATGTGTTTGGAGCTGTCGATTATCACTTTGGGAAGCATGCATGTTTGACAATGTTTCATAATTAGTTGTGTGCACTGCTCTTGTCTCGATGTAGGCAGACACTAACACCACCTAGTTAGAATCTTGGATTATTAATTATAGGCCAGGTTGAGTGAACTACATCATATTTGTTCGCAGCCTCAAGTAAAATAGTTACACTACTCTTACCTTCATATTGGGAAAATGAATTAATTGAATGAACCTCTACATAACTCTACTATAACACTTGAATAGATGGGTACCATCTGTTGTTGAGAATGTAACTTCAGATGTTGTGCATTTGGTGTAGAACTATAAAGAATGCCCTCATGTTTATGAACAAAATGTTTCGCTGATTGATTTTAACACTGCTCTTTTTTTTTTGAAACAAATTTTAACACTGCTCTTATAGTGATGGGTTTTTCTTTGCTGTCAAAGAAGTGTCATCAATTGACCAAGGAATCAATGCAAAACTATTTAGCATGTAAGCTTGTGGGTTTTGACATGCTTGATCAGTTGTCTTGGTTACACTGCTTCAAACGTTATATTTGCTGACACTCAGTCATGTTTATATTTACCCAAATGATAAGTGCCACACGTCAGGTGTGTGGCACTCCGGCCTTGACGTTTGTCAATGGTAATTTCAGTCACGCGAGGATGGCAATTTTCAGTGACACACGGCAAGTTTCTGTAAAAAATATATACTGAGGCACGAAACTTGCCATCCTTGACAACTAAAGTTGTCATCCTCGCGTAACTAAATTTGCCGTCGAAAACGTTCGAAGTTGCCATGTGCTCGTACCTGACGTTCGATACTTATCAGGGTCCTATATTTAACATTCAACCATGCAGATTGCAGAGCACAACAGGAGGGCAAATAGGGTTTCAGCAAAGAGGAATCCCTTTGCCTAGCCAGAAGTTTGCATGGAGGTTGGTTCTATCTGCTGTGCACTATACTGAAACGCCACTGGCAACACACCCATCCTCCTCACTTGGCCTAAACCTAACCTAACAAACGGAAAACTTTGATTGGTCGTGCAATAGTATTAGGAGTCGTGCAATAATGCATGTTTAGCCCATTGCTTTGCCTGATTATGGTATGCAAATTGCAGATGCGCTTTTCTGGAAGTGGTTTCCATATGCCGTAAAGAGATGAGACAACACACCAAAGACAAATCATGCTCTGCCAGTCGTCATAAGATATTGTACTATTATTGTATCCTCTAGAATTTTTGGCTGGCGGAACTTGTAACAGCAGTGCCGCACAGAAAAGCTTGTCTTGCCATAGGTTTTGGCACAATATTTCTCGTTTTGAAATGCACGAGCTTTGTAGGAACAAAAGATAGTGGAATTCTCTGCTCCCAATTCAAGTGAATTAATTGGTTCTGATCACACCCATTTTTATTGCTTCTGATCACACGCATTTTTATTGCTTCTGATCACAAACTTAGCGGCTAAGGTTTTATGTCTCTCTTCAAGAACTAACACATGTGGGTCGTACCCAAACTAGTGGAATAAGTAATGTTTAAAGCAAAATCAATTTCTCAATGTGCATATATCTACTCATATTTTATCGGGAAAAATATTAACCCAGGAAACAACGGTTCAGCTGGCAGGCAAAAATACCCTAATTTTCTTGAATATCTGTTGTTGTTTTAGGTCATCCTTGATTCAAAGAATTTTGAAGGATCAAAATCCTTAGGAATCTTTGCTGTGTGATTGCTTAATTCGTCGGATGAATAATTTTTTCTGAAGATTCCTTTGTGCTACATTTCATAGAAATTTCAGCATTCACTCAAACCTCTTGAAGAGAATCGTGTATTTTTCTCATGCAGTCAAACAAACAAAAATTATGTAGGATTCAAATGGTCATGACATCACAATCCTAGGTTTTTCCTATTCCTACTTTTAAAAAATCATGAAAATCAAAGAGGCCCGGAGAGGTTTTAGTTTGTCTAGGTTGAAGGGATCACAACAGGAATATCAGAGCTTTGACACCTCTTACTCAAGGTCCAAATGATTTAGGCTCTCAAAGCAATGCATTTGCTAATTCCCGTGACTCAACCGTGGTAGGCATATTGAGGATCTATCAAGGTTGCATACAGGAAAAAAGGGGAATTGCATCAATTTTTATTAGTAGATTCAAGAAAATGACCGCTATGATATAGCCAACGATGGCGGCTCAGGGGTTCCCCCTCAAACCTACGCACCGCCACCCCAAACCTCCCCGCCCTGCGCCACCGTCGGAGGAAGCTTCCTGGCAAAGCTCGTGCGGTTGAAGGAGGCGGCAGGGAACTTTCTTGCGATACCTAGGGACCTGCGGGTGACAGATCCCGGTGGCGGCCATTGGTGCTCTGATGCGCGAAGAGGCTGGGCTCGGCGAGCGGCAGTTGCCCGTGCGGTGGGGATTGTGGCTCGGCCGCCGCATGAAGCACTGGCACGGTTTCGTCTCGGTCGCAAAACGGATTGTTCGGATGTGGCGGGATGGACGAAGAAGGTCGTGCTCGGATATTTTTCGGGCCGATGATGGCGCTGCCTTTGGTTGTTGTTACTTTGTTAAAGGAGTTGTCGATGTCGTTCTTGCCTAGCTGCCTATTGCTCCGGGGAAAACAATAGGTTCGAGTGATATCAGATCGGACTGTCATTTCTCTCTCTTGAGAGCATTGTTTTAGAGTTGCATTTGTTAGGGGATAAGTGGATGATAGCAGGTTTGCGTTGCGGCTGACACTTCCATGTCTTGCTGGTAAAATGTATTGGATGGTTGAGGCATTGAGGCCTAGCATAGCGGTGGTTGTCGGCGATCCTCCGTTGCGGCGTCGCGTTACGGAGATGGTGTGCGGCATTTTGCCGGTGATAATCGCAGTCTTCGAGGACACTGACAACATGTGGTGTTTTATCCGGGATTCCCAAATTTATCAGTGATAGACACTTGTGACGAAAGTATGGGATTGCCTGATAGTCTCCCCGGTGGGATTTTTATTTTTTATTTTTAATAAAAGAGAGCTTCCCTCTTCGATTTCATTTAGAGAAATCACAAGTTCACAAACTCAAAGACCGACTACCAGCAAACCCTAAAGTTGACAGTGCTATGTTGGCAGGAGGAAGCCATCCCTCCCCTCCCTCCACACAGCAGCTTGCCAAAATGAGCTAGATCTCCGGTACCATTCAGCACCATAGAAGACCCAAAAGCTAGTGAAATTCGTTCTACTCGCTATTACATTTAGAGAAAGTTCAAGACACAACGAAGGTAAAAGGAGATGACACTATTTGAGCTACAGGGGACATAAAAGGAAACGGTGGGATTTTGATGGTGTCGTCTTTCTCTCGCCCTACGGTCAATGGCTCCGCTCAGCTTTGGGTGACGGTGTGTTTAGGCTGGTCATAGTGAGAGTAACATAGGTAGTAACATAGATGCCACATAAGCAAAAATGTTGATGTGGCAAGTAGTTAATGAGGAGAGAGGTAAATAGAGTAACCTAATATGTTACTATCACATAGCGCTTTTCAATGCAAAATGAGTCTACAAGACAATAAATAAACATGTGTATGTTACTATAAGGGTAGTAACATAGAGTAGTAACGTATGTATGTTAGTACTCTAAGTTACTCCCCACTATGACCAGCCTTATAATTTTCAGCTCGCGTGGCTTAACTTCTACTCTTTGTATCAATGCTCCGAATTTCTAGGTCTCTAGGATTTCTTATCATAAGTTATTATTAGCCAACAAATAAACCTGGATCCATCGGCAACGAACTTTGCGTTTTTCTCAAAAAGAACGGTTTAATATTGCTTCCCGTCATCCTGTTGGCTGCTCTTGCCGGCCGCCATCGTTGAACCGGACCTTATCCAGGAACGAAACCGGAAGTTCTTGGCTTGCACACCGAGGACATTGACCTGCTTGCTCGACGGAATCACTTGACATACGTGCTCCCCGTTACACCCGCAGGGCACGTATGTCGCTTTCCTGTCGGCACCAAACCACGACCAGCCGGGAGCGAGATGGCCCGGAATCCCGATCCACCACGCCACAACGGGATCCAGAGCCCCAGATCGACCACGCCACGGCGGCTTGCATGATGGCAGAAGTCTCGAGTGTCACTCCATGCCATAGATCCTACGTTTTCTGCGATCTTGGAATCTGAGCTGAGCTTTGCTAGCACGGCCTCACTCACTGACAGTCAAACAAACAAACGTTTGCGTCCAGCCTCGTCTCATCCGGTGAAAATCTGGCTCCGGTCACCAATTATCGTCGCGCATCGGACGTGTCCCCTGCCGTCAGTGCTCTGAAATTTCTATGGATCGATGGATGGATCCATGTCGCTTTCGCCTAAAATTTCTCCTCGCCAAATCAAATCACCGTCGATCACATGGCAGCCCTGCTCCCCGCCCTCTATAAATAACCTGCCGTATCGCGGTCTCGTTGCACACGCTTACACGGTACAGTCTCGCACTCAAGACTCAACTCATCAACTGAGGCTGAGGCTGACACTTCCCGCCTCTGCAGCGACACCACGAGACATGAAGCTGGAGGTGTCGCCGAGGCAGAGGACCCAAGAAGCAGAGCAGAACGAGGGCCCCGAGGTATGGAAGCACCCGAAGCAGCTCTGCGCTAGTCTGGGCTACGGGGAGGAGGAGGAGGTGCCACGGCTCGTGCCGCCGCTCAACTTCGGCATGGTCGGGGTTCCCCGACGCGGCCAACTTCCGGTTCCTCGCGTCCCTCAACCTGCGCTCCGTCGTGTGAGTCCCCTTCCCTACCATGCCGAAATCTTCGGCCACCATGCACCCAAACTTCTCTGTTCTTACGCGCGCGCGACGCCCCGTGTTGCTTGCTTCTGCAGGTACCTGTGCCCGGAGCCGTACCCGGAACAGAACGCGCGGTTCCTGGGGCGCAGCGGGATCAAGCTCCACCACTTCGGAATCCAGGGCCGCAAGGTACGCCAACAATTCAGCCTTTGATTCATGCATTTCCAAGGACGGCGAAACCATCTTTGCATCGACCTGCATTTTTGCTTGCTCGGCGCGCTCTGCATATGACTGTGGCAGCAGTAAATGATCTTTTCTTCAGAGTAGCCGTGGGCTGTGGCGTGGATGAATAACTTGCTTTCGGCAGCACTTGCCTTTTCTAGTACTACCCCTTTGCTTGGGCAACTGGCTTATTGGCACTTTGCAGAGTCTATTTACCCGTCTCTTTCATGAGGAACAGTATATACTAGCCATGCCCGCGCGGCACGATATGTTACGTGTATATGTCTATTTTTATTTTCTGTCATGAAATTAAGACTTTTATAGCTTATATCATTCTAGTGGAGCCTGTCGTGGGATGGGATTGTTACATGCGATGCAACGATACAGAGCCTTCCAAATTGTTGCATGCGACCTGCATGTAGCTTCGTGCCAGTGTACGAAATAATTTGATCATCAGTCTGCGGACGCTGAGGGTACACAATATGGTATTATGTCATAGAAATTGTCACATGTCTTTGCCAGGATCTGGGTCTGTCCTGTGAATTCATTTTCCTGTGCCATGCTTGCACCGGAACTGCGACAAGGTCGCATAGCGCGTGAGCCGGGTCATGGCAGAGGCATCGTTGCGCCCCCTTCCATTGTGCCCGGGTCATGGCAGAGGTCTCGTTGCGCCCTCTCCTATCGTGCCCGTGCAGCTGACATAGCGCGTGAGCCGGGTCTTGGCAGAGGCATCGTTGCGTCGTCCTCCCCTCTCGCCGCTAGAGCGTGCTTCACCAGCCGCCATGGCACTTTGTGCTGCCGCCGGTACCGCCGGAACCGCTGCACGAAGAACTCGCACACGTGCTTGTCCGACTGCAGTGGAGTCCTCAACCTGGAGTACTGAAAAATGCGCCGACGACACGTCCTGTCCGACTCCAACAGCATCTAGATAAATATCAACCAATAGCACGACTCAAATCAAACTTAACAACAACGGAAGAATCCATCGAACAGCCAACGCCCCGACGGCGCACAGGGCGCACCCGCCGACAAAAAAAGCACAAAGAATCATGGCCAGCAACAAAACACCGCAGAACCGCCCGACGAACCTGTCCATCAGCACCACTCCGATCATGAAGCAGATGTCCATGTCTTCCACTGATGGCCATTGTGATCATGAATTGTGTGAAGACAATGAATTCACCGGTGGTGGCGGCGGCGGAGATGGTGAGGATGTCACCGGCCGGGCCCCTAGCGTTTATCGCCGACGGCGGCGGCGAGGTGCCCGGCTGCTTGCACTCCGCAGCCTCGGCGCTCATGGACGCTGCCGTCCGACGCACTACAGGACCACCTCGCCGTGGACGCCATCGCGATATTGGTGCAGGCGCCCATGGATCCTGACGCCCCCACGCACTACGGGATCACCAGAGTCGCCGTGGACGCCATGGTCATGTTGGTACTCGCAGCCACCAGCGTCCTACAAACGCCATCGCCATGTCAGGCGCACAACACTTGGCTGTGCACACCTGCCAAGCTGCTCGGACCGACGTACGCCCAGCCGACATGCGACGACAGGGGGCCGATGGACTGTTGGGCGGGGGCGAGCTTGAGCAGAGACGCCGCAGCCTGAGGTCTGCGTCACCCCCACATGCACGCCACCATTGCCTCCTCTCCGTCGTGCCCTCCACGCGAGCCTCGCCATGCTGTGGGACGCCATCCTAGGGCCGATGGCAGCGGAGATGGAGTCCCGACGGTGGGAGCTCCGGCAAGACGCGGTCCGGCGGCGAGGCCGGACGTGGACTCGCCTAGATTAGAGAGGTGCGGCAAACGCATTGGTGAGGTCCAAAAGCCTTTTTATACAGGCGCATACGATGAGAAGCGGTTGCACGGCTGCGTAAGACGGTGGAGGCTTTCGCTGGAGTCTTCCGGATAGAACGCGCACCTAGTACACGTTCGAAAGGTCAATATGTGTCAATGTCCGTAACAGCCAGCACACACCAACAAAAAAATATCTACAGTCGCATGAACCAATCACGCAGATCACAACCAGTCAAAACAAGGCACATGAGGCTGGTCACAATGGACAAGAACATACGCTAGTAACTTCACATTTCCCTAGACTATGTTACTATCTCCATAGTGGGTAGGAACATCTATGTAGTGTCATGCAATGATGTATTTATTAGGTTATAGACTCATTGTTTCTTGGAGTGTGTGATGTTCCGGTAACTTAGCTAGTTACCACAAACACCTCTCTCTTCATTAAATACGTGCCACATAAACAAAGTTGTATTGTAGTGTGTGATGTTACTCCTAAGTTCCTCCCCACTGTGACCAGCCTGAAAACCCACCACGCGACAAATCCGGTCAGATCCAATCCATGCATGGCACATGCTCATGCGGGGCAGAAGGAATGCCCGGTACGTATATCTAACCAAGAATCGCTGGATCTACTAAGAGCGTACCCAGTCATATCCCCCAATAAATAACGTGTCATCTCTCGATTGGTCCGATTTTCACTGATAAGAAAAAGTCAAAAAAACGTGGTAAACCAAACCTGGCCAGGTTTAGTATATTTAGAATATCTGATCAACCAGCTCGCCTTTTTACCTGCCATGCTACGCTCTGCATTAGTACCACATGTCTGCATACATGGAAAACGGGATGTCTGCTTGCCTATCATCACGTGTCAAAAGCTCTAGTTTTTATCTGATATCCACTGCAACGGTGACTCGACGAGAACATATTCCACTGTCGGCTCTTTGCTCACCAAGCTATGATCTGCTAGTTAGTGGAACGCCAAAGGCCGTCGACGCTGGCAAGTTGACGGTCGGTCACAGCTTATTCTGTCGGCGATTAACAATGCATCCTACCGTCGAGCTCACCAACTTTAGTTCAGAATCATCCATGTGTGCACTGCAACTGCAATGCAAACTCCCTTTTGAAAACCTATACTATGTGTGCGAAGTGCCAACAAATAACTGAAATGTACGTACCTTGTTGCGAGTGCAGGAACTGTTTGTCGGCATCCCCGAAGAAATGATCCGGGAGGCGCTCAAAGTCATCCTTGGTACTATCTCATACACTTACTTACAGACATCTTCACTGATTGAAGGCTGCAAAACCACACGTCACACTTGAAATCTCCCATTCTCTGAAAGATCACTTGAAATCTCTGACACATATCCTTGTTTGTTTTCACTTGATTCAGACGTAAGAAACCATCCGGTGCTCATCCACTGCAAGAGAGGCAAGGTACGTAGGCCTCCATTGATCATCCATCCATTCTGCACCCTACACCTCATACAACACTTTTTTTTTTGACGGCAACCTCATACAACACTTTAAAACGAAAATCATAACCATATGCTTCTTTCAGCACCGTACCGGCTGCGTGGTGGGCTGCCTGAGGAAGCTGCAGAAGTGGCGCCTGTCCTCCGTCTTGGACGAGTACCTGCACTTCGCGGCGGCCAAGGCCAGGAAAACCGACCAGAGGTTCATGGAGCTCTTCGACACGTCAAGCTTGGTGCATCTGCTGGCCTCGCAGTGTTGATGAAAGCGAGCGAGCGTTTTTCGTTTCTCTTTTGGCCTGTCCCGATCCTGCCACCATGCGGCTGCGACGACCTGTCTTTTCCCGCGGCGATTTACAGAGAATCATGGGCCATATCTGTGAGAGATACAAGGGGACCAATGAGAGATGTACTCCTTGAATGCTCAAAAATAACAATTCAAAGTGTATGGCACAGTATCATTATTCCCGCAAAAAAAAATGGTAGAACACCATTGTATGATCGATCTGATAGGATTTTCCGAGATGTTATTTTGAAAATGCTGGTATGGACTGAATGTTTACTGTTTACTGATGCCATTTGACAACTAACTACTTCTCCTGCTTGTGAGTGAGCCTAGTATTTTTTCTTTTTGCCTAAGAAAAATAGTGAGTCTAGTTTTTTTAGAAACGGTTTTTGTTTTAGAGCTGTGAGTGTGTCTAGCCAGAATGGACATGGACTGAATAAAGCCATGAGGCCCAAATGGACATGGGCCTGGTAAGCCCGAGTGCCTCGCATCGCAGGAGAGAAAGGGTTATCGTAGGGAGTACGCTGATACTTTCCTTCCCCTAATAAACCCCCAAATTGAGAGAGCAAACCACCGAGTCCGCCGCCGCCGCCGCCCACCTTTCTTCTTCTCCCAAACCCTAGTCTCCGGCGGCGATGGCCCCCAAGCGCGCCGCGAAGAAGGCGGCACCCCCGCCTCCGCCTCCGCCTCCGGCTGCCTCCTCTGAGGAGAGCGAATCCCGCTCGCGCTCCGAGGAGTCGGAGGGCGAAGACGCCGAGTCCCCTCCCCCCGCCCCCACCCCGGCCCCCAATAGCACGCCGGCGCCCCCGCAGGAGGGAGAGGAGGAGGAGGAGGAGTCTGAAGAGGAAGACGAGGAGGAGTCTGATGAGGAGCCCGCCCACGCGGCCCCAGCCGCCGCCGCCACCCCCAAGAACAAGCCTCCGCCGCCGCAACAGGGAGGTGACTCCGATTCTTCTTCCGACGAGGAGGAGGAGGAGCCCACCAAGGCGGCCCCTCCCTCCGCCCTGAAGAAACAACCCCCGCCGCCGCCGCCGCCGCGGCAGAGCGAGGAATCGGACGCCTCCGACGAGGAAGAAGAGGAGGGTGAGTCCGAGGAGGAGGCGCCGCCGCCGCCGCCGCCGAAGCTTGCTCCAAAGCAGGCGCCAGAGGGCCGGAAGCCCCAGGCAGCGGCGGAGACCAAGAAGCCGGCCGCTTTCAACCGCATCTGGTCCACCGACGACGAGGTGCGTATCCTCGAGGCCCTTGCTGCTCACCAAAAGCAGCACGGCACGCTGCCGCAGCCGGACGCCCTCGTGGACGCCCTTGCAGGAAAGCTCGACAACCGTGCCTACGGCAGCAAGGAGCTCCAGGGGAAGGTCTTGGCCCTGAGGCGTCGGTACCTCCTTCTCAGCAAGAAGGGCGAGCCCCCGAGCAAGGAGCATGACCGCCGGGTGCTGGAACTTTCCAAGATGGTCTGGGAAGGCGGTGACACGGCCGCAGCTGCCCCTGCGAAGGCGGCAAATGGCCAGGAGCCAAAGGGGTTCGAGGAGATGTGCGAGCTGTATCCGTACCTGGCGGAGCAGGTGAGGGAGCTGGATGCGGCGAACCCGGGCATCTTCAAGAGGCAGTTCGGGATGATGGACGACGACAAGGCGCGCGCGATGGACGAGAAGATCAAGAGGCAGAGGGTGGCGCAGATGAAGGTGGAGCTGCGCCGCCACGACCTGGCCAGGGAGGTGACCAAGGCGATCATCGACCTGGTCGACTGATCGGAGCGTCATGGGCTTACAAGTTAGTACAAACTGAAACTGTATCTGTGATCACCTGAAGTTGGTGCGATGAAATGCGGCGTTTTGGTGGAGCAAGAATGTTTCTGAAACTATGATCTAGAGTCTGCAGATTGGGCTGGCTCGATGCATCAGACATGTGGTGGAACTGCAAATTGTGCCTCCTGTAGTCCTGTTTGTAAGAATGCTTTTCTCGTGTGGCCAGAGCAAATGCTAGAAATAGCAAATTAGGGGTGTCTTTATAGTGTAAGCATGATGAGACATGTGCTGGAACTGCAAATTGTGCTGGTGGATTAAGAATATTTTCCGAAGTGCGCTAGAACTGGCAAATTGTGCTGTTGTTGCGCGAATCTTTGTTGCCACTGGTTCCATCGATTGTGCGAGGTTATGTATGAAACGGTCGCTGAATTTGTAGTTGGTTCAGGAAAGCATTTCTGTTGTTAGTTTTGACAGCTTGTTGCTGTTTTGGCTGTTTCAGGGTTTGGGTGCAGGCTGGAGTCGTGAGTCTGAATTGGATGAATGTTACCAGGGCATGGCGCTGGGTTATACTCCTCTACTTTTCTGCTGTTTAATTTAACCAGCATTTTATACTTGCGTGACTGTTTCAGGCTTTCTGTGCTGGATTATATGAATGTTACCAGGGCATGGCGCTGGGTTATACTCCCTCCGTTCCAATTTACTCGTCGTGGTTTTAGTTCAAATTCAAATTTAAACTAAAACCACGACGAGTAAATCGAAATGGAGGGAGTACTACTTTTCTGTTGTTGGGTTATACTCCCTTTGTACACAAATATAAGATGTTTTTGCAGTTTAATTCAAACTGCAAAAACGTCCTACATTTGTTTACAGAGGGAGTGCTACTTTTCTGCTGTTTAATTTGGAGGTAATTGCACCGCGGTGCTTGAGCTAGTGATGGATGTTCATTTAGTCCTTGTAGTTGCAAGTGGTTTCAAAACTTTGACATGCCCTTAAGGCGAAAAATGCGCCTACATGACACCGTATTTTCGGTTCGCGTGCACACGAGCTTCAAAAAAAAAAAGGTTTGCGTGCACACTTGGGTGCCAACCTCAAGTTAGCGAACAGGCCGTGCTAGCCACCTCACCAGATGAACTTTGATGTACTAGTAAGCTTGCACGTGCAACGCACGTCTCGACTAATATTTACAACCGTCACCTGTGTATGTAAGAGGATAATCTGATTGTAGTAGTAAAAAATATTTCAAATGTACTGTTGTGTAGATAAGGTTCACTTTCCACCCAAAAAACTATTTGCACTATTATTTCAAATCTTTAGTAGCCTTCTTATTTCTAGTAACCGTACACATGCAATGCAAACAAAAAAAAAAGTTACAAAGAAATATATTTGAACTTTGGGACAATGTGCTACTACAAAAAAAAGTCACCTATCAATGTGCGTGTCTTAAAAAAAAATGGTGCGTGACTACACTCCATATCCATATCTTGATGCTTGAGTACACTCCATACTCCATTTGCTCCATATGATAGCTTATCCTCCTCTCCAGAAAGAGCTTCATATGTATCCCTACCTGGTATATCAGCATTTCTCAAAATAAAAAAATAAAAAAAACTGGTGTATCAGCACATACTGTGTCCCTACAAGAAGCTTGTAATTTTTTTGGCAGAACATATAAACCCAGTAGCAATCAAGTCTCATGGGAAAACTGATCACTCAATTAGCGAGAAAGTGCTCACTTAGCAAGTTTACTTAATGCATCATGATTTGTTTCTTGAAACTTCATGCTTAGTGAAAGAAAAGTAAGGCTTGGAGATCTTTCTAGAGTTTAGTACCGAATAACTTTCTCAATCGCATGGCATTTAGTGATTCTGTATAAAGAAAATGGTTACAGGCTTGGTAAAGGAACAATATTCCTACAGACAAGTGAGAAATCTCATGTAGGCTTCCACAAATAACTACAGGCACAACACACACGAACTCCTGAAGAATTGGCATGATTGGCATGTAGTAGGTCCGACGAAGATAGAGATACCAGTGTCGTACAAGGCAGGAATGATGAAGACAGAGATGTCCTCGGGCTTCAAAGGAGCACCAAAAATAATAATAAGAAAAAACAGTAAGAAAGTTCACCTAGAAACCGTAAAGCATCAGGACGCAACAACATTCAAAGATTCAGGTAACATTCAAAGCAACCTCTGTAGGCCCAAAAATTAAAGAGGACACTATCGATCAATACACAAAACAACCAAAACTACCACAACATTATTTATTTATAATTATGTAGCTTAAGTTGTATAATGTTTTCATGACAAAAATACTTTGCACAACATGAAATCTGAAAATGCAGTATTTCTCATGAATGTTTGGCTGTCCTATAGTGATGATCAGAGATTTGTCTATTTCAGTAAGAGATCGATGGGGATCACTTGAAAAAAAAAATCTAATCAGGTGGATGTGAAGCTCACCATCTGGAACCAATACGAACGCATACCTCGAGCTCCTGCCTCCCAACGCACCTGGGTGACAGTTCTATCAAATTGGATGGATTGGAGACTGGAGGACTATTAGCGTTGCTACAGGAGCGAACCCCCAAACGGCGCCTGCCCACACTGTGTATAGACGTGTCGCTCCCACCGAAGGCCTCTCTGCATCATGCTTGACACCTTCCTCGCGGCCGGCATGCCGAGGTGCTCAATGTGCTCTCCCGCGTCAACCGTGGCGGTGCTGTGCCTCCCCGACGTGGAGGTGCGCCCGGATCTGATGCTCCTCGTCCGCACGGCCGCCTCCTGCAGCAAGCTCCATTCGGCGCAGCACAGTATGTGCGAAGGAGCGGCGAACGGTCACGGCGACCCGTGCTCCAAAAGAGGCCGATGGCGACCACGTACGTGGGGCATCAGCCGAGTGGAGGAGCGATGGCCTGAGTGCCGTGGGGAAGCGGCAGATCGGTGGAGCGGCGGGCGGCGACCCTCTGCCTCGCTTGGTAGGAGCGGCCGGCGGCGACTGGGCAGAGGCAAGGTGCGTCGCATTCTCGGCAAGGGCGATTTGATGTGGATGAAGGGATTGGTAGTCGATGGCTGGCTAGATCGGGCAGCGGTTCGGCGGGGCGGGGAGGCGGCGTGCGGCGCGAGAGGAGCAGGAGTAGGAGGGCGTGCGGGCGTGCATGCGTGCGTGTGTGGGGTTGCGGCAGTATTTTTTTCTTTTTAACGATGGATGGATTAGCGCTGGCTTAATGCAT